CTTCTTCTTGCTTCACATGTCAAGACAACCTTCCGAGATCAAGAGCCCCAAGCTAACTCCGCTGAACCCCGCTCGACAGACGCTTGTTTTGTGGCTTCAGGTGTATCTGACCGTCAGACCTGGTACACCGAGCTCCGGGTGCACCTCAGGCTGTCGCGTCACTGCTGGGACATGGGACTGCTAGTTACTGCTGGTTGTTTTGACATAGTCACGCTTGGAGGGGACCCTGCAAGAGCACTGCACGGAGAAAACCCGAAAACGTTGTAGAACCTCACCACCTACCAATGGACACCGAAATTAAGCTGTGAACTTAGGGCAGTGCCGACCACCCTGCTGTCTCATCGCGCTGTCCCAGGTTATCGCAATCAAAGTCTGGCTCCTGCTTCTTTTGCATGTTGTGCAGTCTGCAGTACAATCTGTGACGGGGTCACTGAGACTGACAGGGCTGTGTTCCTATGAAGCTTAAGTTGCCAAAGGAGTCTGAAACTTTCCAACGTTCACCTCCGAGAAGGCTCAACAACCCCACAGAATCACGACTGCAAGCCCTCAGGTCCGCTTGCCAAAAACGTTTGCGAAGTCTTAGGAATTCCCTCGCCTTGCAAGCGCCGGATTTCGGCACACTTGCCTGCAGGGAAGCTGTGGGCGAAACCACGAGGGCACATGTGGCTGGAGGGTGTCTGTTTGGTTCAGAGCTTCGGAAGCATTTGCGAGCTTTGAGGGCTCATCGCTCAGATTCGAGATCGCGATTCTAAGCCAACTCTCGAATGCCTCCACGATTTTCGAGATCCGTGGATGAGGACAGAAGCATGAATCCTGCGACTGGAAGCCTCAAAGTCATAATTACAGCATATATGATCCCGGTTCTCGGTTCACCGACCCCCCCAATGGTATCCCCCCCCCCAACGCTCCCCAAGCCGAATCTTGCGACTGTGCAAGCTTTTTCCACACGAGGGCTCACACGCCAAGCAGACCCACGCAGGAAACCCAGACCCAAACCACACCACACCACAGGGGGGAGTGGGGTAACCAGCCTAAGCAGACCCACTCCCGAACCACACCACACCACACCACAGGGAGTAGGAAGCAACCCACAACCATACCACACCACAGGGGGGGAGGAGGAACCATGGGGGGGGGAAGGGGGGGGGGGCCGGCCGAACCGGGATCATATATGCCAAGCCTCCCGTCTAAAATAGCAAGACCTCGAGGGTTTCGCAAACCCTCCAGCCATCAACCGACACCCAATGCATGAAGCCACGTGCGTATGCGTGCTGTGTGTTTCTAGACAGACCTCCTGGCGCCCAGCGGAGAGAACCCTTCTCATTTGGCTTGAAGCTTCAATCGAGCTGCCGGCCGGGCTTTTGGCCTTCAAACTTGAACTAAGAGCCCCCCGAAAGCGAGACCAAAAGCCCCGATGCCGCTCACGACATCCTCAGCTCCCATGAAGTTCAGCTGAACTGAGAAGAAGGTGCACAATTGGCAACTTGCAAGCTTAAACACGGAAGCCCCAGGACCGAAACCGCGCAGGCCGAAGCCCTAACCTCAAAACCCTCTCCGCTCCGCTGCGATTTGGCTGACACCTGGGCTGGATGGTGAGCCTCCCACACACCGAATAGGCAGGGCCGATTCCAATACAAGCACGCCTCCCCCACACACCTGCCTTGATGACCATGGAGAGCAGGCTTTGGTCATGGCGATTCTCTTTCCGCTTGTGCCAGGGACCATCGAGTGCTGTGTTCCTTCGAGCTGTTGGAGCACCGTGCGCTTTTGGAGCTTGCGGGATTTGGAGGTTTGGGAGGTTCAGCGTGCGGCGGTGCAGTGCAAGTCTTCCAACCATGAAAGAGCTATATGTGTAAGTCTGAAGATTCGACCGTAGGAACATACACGGTCATATGATTAGCATGTGGCTAAACTGGTATTTTCTGGAGAATGGACATGGCTATCCGTCAGTGAAACACAGAGTATGTCACTTGTCGGCCGGGCTCGGTTGCTCCTCCAGCTAACAACCCCAAGGCTCATTGCGTAAAAGTGGCTCACGGCTTAGGTAGCAGTTTCTGGTGCCGTCGATATCAGCCCTCAGCCCTCGGGGCCCTCAGTAACAAGGTTACGGTTCAATCAACGCCCTGAAGGCCCGCAAACCTCAGCTGAGGCTTTGTGCCTGGAGGGTTCATCCGACACCAGATGGAAATCCTGGGGCCCGGGTTTTGGCTGAGCCAGGGTCTTAAGGGCTTGGGGATGCTTAGGGTTTAGTTCAGAGTGTCGGATCAAGACGGTCTACAGCATGGGGCTAGCGAAGCGGAACACGTAATTTCGCCGAAGCGCTGCGTGCCACGACAAGATCTTAAAGTCAAGACATGTCAAGACCGTCAACCCCGACGCTTCAAGTCTCAAGCTAATCCCAAAAGCAAGGCCAAACACGTGTTGCAAGGGATGTTGCCTCCAAACCACCCACCTCAAATTTGAAGGGGGTGTTCTACAGGGCTGAAGAGTGTCTGAAACTTTGTCGGGACTAGGGCCTTTTCAAGACCTTGCGACTCGGGATCTCTGCTGAAACTGTAGGGCCTGTAGGATGCCTATAGGGCGTGCTGCTGTGGCGTTAAGCTTTAGGCCCTTTTAGGCCCGCTTGTGGCTCCTGCAGGAGCATCTCCCAAGTCCGCAGCAGACGGGCGCTTCGTGCATTCAGCCGCATCAGGTAAGCCTGGCAATGGCCGAGTGCTCTTTTTTTGTTCTGAGTCAGAGCGTTCTGCCGGGGCAGGGCAAGTCCCTGCACCTCGATACAGCCTATCCATGATCCCTCACGTTCTACGACAACATGCTACAACCATCAGCACTGTGCATTACTAGTACCAGGGCTGGTAAAATCACTAACACGATGTCACAAGCGTTTACTGTTCGTCGTCACTGTCGTCGCAGCAGTTGTAGTGGTGAAAGTGTCGGCCCGACATTCACTGCGACAACGATGACGACGAGAGCAGCGATACGCCCACCGCCGAAAAGAAGAGAGGTGACACACCACAGAATGGCGCGAAGGATGGCAATTGCTTGACAGCAGGTGCCAATGCACGACACACTGGAAGCTCAACAAACTGCAGTTGCAAGGACAGCTTCCGTTTCCGTGCCTGGGCTTTCGGCTGCTGCGTAAGGCCGTAGTGCGGGTTGTCCCAAGTCGTGTTGAAACGCTCAAAGATTTCGCCTTTCGTCCAGACCTCGTGGCTAAACATCATTACGGGCTTCTTGCGATTTCACGTATGGTGCAAAGGCTAAACTGGGGTACAGCACAGGTAGAGTGTTGAAGTCTTGATGTCTTCCACACGTCGAGGTTGCTGTGGTCTGCAATGGCTTTGCAAAACGTACCCTACAACCAGCTTCATCACAACATTTACCAGGTGACCCTTGACTACATGGACCGACTGCGTGGAAGAACTCGACATGACTCGACCGCTGCCTCACTCAATGCTTCTACTGAAGAGCGAAGCGCAAAATGCGGCAAACTGCAATACTCCGATTCTGCTCAGCTGCGGGGTTCAAGACTTGGGGCCAGGGTATCAATAATCCCAACCTGTCATAAGCAGGGTACGTGCTCGCAGTGCGGCTGCTTCCGGATGACCACATCCTGCAGGCATGCCCCATGGAACATACAGAAGCATATTTACCTATCCAGAGTCCGTTCTGTTCTGCAGGCCGGGGGAGACGCAAATACCACGAAGGCTGCGGTGCAGGTTCTGAGTAAAAGTCGCAGCAATGGCTGTCAACGACATCTGATCCCTTGGGCAAGCGAAGGTGGTCACTGAGCTCTGACAGTGATGCCACAAGTGCCGAGCTACCCATGGGGCAAGCCACTTGTTTGGACTGCAGATCTGTCGACCGCAACTGCTCGCCCTGACCGGGAGGCATCCCGAAACCTCTTTCAGCACAAAGCGCAAGACAATGTCTGCAGCAGGAATCATCTGAAGCAGAGAGGCATGCAAGAACAAGCTGTCTCGGCCGATGATGCAGACTGTCCTCATGCTACGAACCCCTGATTGCAAGTGAAGACGAGTGGCCTTCATTTGGAGCATTGCTCAGTGCACACGAAAGCCTGTTCACATGGCATGCCTGCGACCTGCACGCCGCCTGTCTGCCCCCATCGGACGCATTGGCTTATTGCTCCGCTGTCATTCGCCCAGACCGCATGCTCATTGGCCATGAAGGCATCCAGCAACTTCCGCGACAGCAAGGCATCTCCACAGGCGGAAGCAAGAAGCTGCTCTCGTCTCTTTTGGGTAGGCCTAGCAGGCCCAGCAGTCCAGCAATCACAGCGTCCGGAGCTGCTCAGATATATGCTGTAGGCATGATGGTGACCACGTGCTTCGCTTTGGGAAACTCTTTGCCACTGCGCCTACCAGTAGTTCTTCGACCGAACCCTACACAAATTGCTGCGATGCATCCTACTCTAACAGCTTGACGAAAGGTGTTAGCAACCCCGCGGCCAACCCGGGAGGCCGAAACGACGAAAGTCGAAAGGGTCCTCTGTTGTTTCCTCTCGCATTTTCAAGAGGTGGCCCAACTCACCCAAAGCATCTGTATCCACCTTGGCGCCGTGTCAATACAGGTTGGAACAGGAAGTGCAATGTATTTCAATCGGCTGCAGTGGGTCCATGACACTGACAACTCGTGTTTCACAATGCACCTCTCAGCCCGAGCTCCAAAACGTGCTCTACTATCTCACAGAAATACGAAGACGTGCCCAATAAAAGGAACTCATCAGTAAGACATCTCGATTTCTCTAATGGCGCAGATCCCGGCTTTTGAAAGGTTCTCCCTACGCGATATCTGATCCTTCGACCGGATCCTCAGCAGATCGCTCCAGGTCCTAGCTGCAACAAGCCAGCGGCATAGAGGAGATCGTCGCCCAGCTGCATTTCCTGAGGGTTTTGGAGATGAAGGCAGGGCCTGGATTCCTGGATGCGGACTAGGAGTTCTCAGAGAGCAGGCCCCCTGATGTAGCCCAGGCCAGGGCACTCCGTTGTAGAGAAGCATGTTGGGCAGCGCCGCCTGGCTTTCGGAGCGAAGACTGTGCCACTGGAGCTTTGGACGAGCGACGAGGGGTCCAATTCGACGGAGATTTTGATAGGAACTCTCAAATCAAGCGAAACCTGAACCTCAACACTTCGAGAGCTTTCATCCTACCCACCTCTGTCTGCCCCAACCCGACCTGAATGCCTAGGCCTCATCTTTACCCCTCTCCCGTGCCCGTCTCCACAAAACTCGGCTGCCTTCCAGAACCAGTAGCCTCTGCCGCGGACCTGCGACCTTCGAGGCAACAAGTTCTCCTCAGCTTCTTCGTTTTGTCGGAAGCCTCGCTTGGGCTCTAAGAGGAGGCATGTCAATGGTTTCGCAAAGCCTTGCCAGCAAAAGCCGATCAAAGTGTGGCGATGACAGTTCTTGGGGCCAAGGACCTTTGGCTGTCCTTTTGTTGTCGCGTTCATGTTTTTGAACTTTACTGCAATCATTGCTTGCGCCCCAAAGCAAGAAGACCGGCATGCTCATAATCAGGCACTACCCAGTGCCGCGGAGGAATTGTGAACCCCTTCGAACGCACGGGCATCGTATGTAGGAAGGCGACCGTTGTTCTGAACGTACTTCAACCAACCCACAGCTCCTGCCAATAAACCCGTGACTGCAGAGTCGTCTCACCTGAGGCCAAGGCGGCACGTGCCTCTTCCAGCGAGGATCATGCATGAGCTCGTCGGGCAATCTGGTGTGAAACGAAATCGAACTCGAAACCTTTTCTATGGGTGTCAAAGATGTCGGGGTTTATGGATGCTTTCTTACATCATAGGTCAAAGTGCAGGGTTTGATGATAGTGGGGGGCAGGGTTGGCTGCTCACCGCCACCAGAGCCATAGTTCATTCTGTGGACTTGCAAGACTGGCAGTCGTTCAGGGTTTCGAGGTTGGAGGTTTCAAGGCTTCAACACCGGTGTAGGGTTGAGGTCGGAGGCCGGCTGTTTAGTACGGAAGACATTTCCGGTTCGATGAAGACTACGACTTGAAAGAGGCCTGACGCTCTCTACACATTGACTCTACCTCTGGGGGGTTTCTCACGAAAACAATGATCTGGACAGAGGGTCGAGATTCCACCCGTAAGAGGACATGGAGGATTTATTCAGACCGAGGCAATCTCGATGAACCCAGCTGCAAACAAACCGGTCCTTCTCAAACCTGTAATCACCTTTGGCTGAAGGCACATGTCGCTTTGGACTCTTACATAGTTGAGTATCCAAAGAAGGTTTCCTTGCAAATACGGCATTTTCGCGGTCTCTAGGCATGGTACATACATCTCAAACCCTTTAGGTGCAGGGTGAGAACTTAGCCGTGTAGCTAGGAGCCTGGATCTACAGCAACTCCTAGTGCAGGTAGCTCAAAGCTCTTTTGCGCACGCGCTCCCTTCCCTGCTGAGCCTCCGAGAGCGCCGATTCGTGAGTCTTCATGGCATGTAAACACGGCTGACGACTTTATTCGTTTAGCACCGGTACTATTTTCTTATGCCTGAAGACTCATCGCCACGCTGCATTAGCGCTGGTCCCCAGCAGATCAGCTGGTGTTTTGCTGTCTTTGAGCTTGACCACTGGGTTTGACATCCATTCTCTGAAGGAGTCACGAAGAGCCCGTGAGCGCTTGGTGAGCGCGTCTGCTAGCTGTTGTTCCGACGGGACCCATCTAAGGCCTTTACAGGTCTGTCGAAGCGCTGCTACGTCTAGCTCTACCCGCTTCTCTTGAAACGAGGTGGTGAGCCTGTGAACTGAGTCCCAAAGCGACCTAGCATCAGTCACGGGGATAACCTCGAAGAGCGGCCGGTCGTTGAGGGTGGAGATGAAGGTGGCATCGCACATCTCGCTGAAGGTCATCGCGAGAAAATGCGCATGGTCGTGTGTACGATCCAGCGCCGCTGCTTCTGCCGCCAAAGTACTCCTCAAAACTCGCTGGTGACGGTAGCTCTTCCACTCAAGCAGCGAGGCGGAGGTCTCCTGGTTTTTGGCCACTCTGTCCGTCGCCACAATGACCAAGCCGCCCTGAGACTTGTTCCCCGGGGCGTTCGCGAATCCAGAATCACCGTAGGCAACGAAGATCAACTGGTCCACATCGATCGGGGTTATCTTGATGCAGGCGGATGCAGTAGCTCGGACGTACCTCAAGACTGCGTTCACCTCTTTCAGGTCTGCCACCGTGAGTTGTGTAGGAGGTTTCTGCAGTAGGCTCACATCACTGGCGATGTCGCCTCTCGAGGTTGATGCCAGCCATTGAAGCGACCCGATGCCCGAACGGAACTCTGTCACCAGCTCCGGGTGCTGGCTGAGTAACTCAGCATCGTCCAACTTCACACGTGTGGCGGGGACTTCCTCGACGTACGAAGCCTGATCAACCGTTATGGATCCATCCGGCCATTGCTTGATGTGCCGGCCGACAAAGGTGAAGTCGCCACTGGTCCACGGTGATCCCCAGGTGAACTTGGACTCGACGCGGTTTAGCACCTCCTCGTAGCCGGGCAAGGCGCAGCTCAGCAGGTCGTCCACGTGGAGGCCCAGAAGCGCCACGACCTTATTGTCGTGCCGGTACAGAAACAAGCAGGGGTCCAAACTGTGGGATTCCCAGCTGAGTTCACGAAGCACCCTGGAAAAGTGATTGTACCACTGTCTCGGTGCATTGGACTGCCCATAGACCGGTGCCGACAGCTTGTACAACAACGTTTTCACACGCCACTCTGGTACTGCTTGAAGCGCAAGTGGGTCACCCGGTGGCTTCATGAAGATCGGCTCAGGGCGTTCGGAGTCAGGGTCTCCTTGGAGGAAGGCCGACTTCGCATCTGCATTCCATAACTTGACCCGAAAGGTCGCCGCCCATTGCAAAAGCAAGTGCAGTGATGCACGAGCCAAGACCGGGGCATCGCGAGTCAGGAGCGGTAAGTGGGGGTCGCGAAATCCGGCGACTACCACTCTCGCCTTTGCCTTGAAACCAGATGCTGCCGGCTTCCAGCGATAACAGACTCTGGATCGAAGAACCAGATGAGGGGCGATGGCGCCTTCCTTCACATGCACCGGTGAGCAGCTGGCCCACTTCTGCCACTCTGACCATTCTTTGCGGAGCGCCTCGACAAACGGCTCAATCTCGTCCTCGGTCATGGATTGCCAATGCACCTCTTTCTTCCTCGCCTGTTGAGCGGCTCGCCTGGCACCAAAGCCAGAACTTCCGTCGCAGCCCTCTTCGTCGGACGAGGACTCCATGGCAATCACTTTCTCCGCTTCTTGGCCAGCTGAGGACTGCTCTTTCACTGGGAAGACCTCCCAGAGAGGGCGGATTTCTTTGGGCAGGTCTGGAGTGAAGTCTGCGGTTGTGGCCGTGGTGAAGGTCACGTGCTTGCCGCCTTGTTTGAATCCCAGCTTGCGCATCTTCTTGAGCGAGTCCTCCGAAGCTAAGTCAGCCAGTCTGGTCTGGTAAGCCGTGATGACGAAGCGCTCGCCCACATACTCCTCCGTGCCGTGGTAGTTGTCCGGGTCGAACTGGACGAGCTTCTGGTAGTTGTCGTGGAACTTGCCGTAGACCTTCTTGCCCTTCACGGAGCGCCGGACAATTTCCCCGGAGTTCGCCGAGTCATATTCAGCCTCGACCCACAGATGCCCTCCCACATGGTTCCCCAAGGCTATGCTCCAGTTCGCAGCGCCCTTGGAGTTGTGGACGTCCTTGTGGTAGCGGCTCCGGATGTTTCGCCCAATGAACACACTGCTGGTCTTGCCTTGGAGGCCGTGGTGCTTCAGGTAGGCGTTCACGTACTTCAGCAGGGCGCGGTTGTTGTCGGTAGCCTTGGTGAAGCCATGTTGCCGGCCATGACTGAAGTAACCCAAGGTCAAGGAACCAGCATTGCCAGAGCTCGCCGACAAGCACTGTCGATCTACCGGCTTGTAAGTGGCCGTCTGCAGTAGCTGATGGCATGAGTCATGAGAGAAGTCCTCCCTCTTCAGCAGCAATGCGGCCAATGACTCGGACAGCGGGGGCGGTTTGGAGGTTGTCGGATAATTGGACGTAGTAGTTTCGCTAGCAATGCTCGTTGTATGTGGCTCAGCATGGGGAGCAAAGACACCTTCCTCCTGGTCGGCGTTGCCGAACACATAGGCAGCCGTAAGGAAGGCTTCGTGAACATAGATGCCCGGGACCTCGTCTGGCGATCCATCCCAGCCTTGGCGAAGATGTTGGCCACGGGCATGTCGTCGTAGCACGTCAAGTCGATGAAGTGTACTCGGAACCTTGACGGCCGTCGTGGTAGTAGTAGACAGTGATGCATGAGGTTGCAAAGCTTGTGGTGCGTAAGGTTGCAAAGCTTGTGGTGCATCAAGTTGCGAAGCTTGTAGTACATGAGGTTGTAAGGCTTGTGGTACATGAGGTTGTGAGGCTTGTGGTACATGAGGTTGTAAGGCTTGTGGTGCATGTAGTTGCGAAGCTTGTAGTACATGAGGTTCGGAGGCTGGCAACGCAGCTCGGCTCGCAGCAGCAGCAACGTGAGACTGGTAGTCATCGATCACATCCTGGACTTGAGGATCTTTGAGCGAAGGGGCCGGTTCTACATGATCACGGGTAACACCCAGCAGCTTATCGAAGGCCTCTCTCTCCTTGACCTCATCTAGCCAAGAGACCACGTCACGTACATCTGTCACAGCGTGCTGACTGTTGCATCGACCGCATCGGCCAGGAAAATTGCGGTACTGTTCACCGCATCCTTGACAATAAAGGAGAAATGAAGACTCCGGCTCAGCAGAAAGAGGCGTAGGACCCGTTGAGGAATTGGGTGCTGAAGATAATTTGCGAACACCTTCAGAATCAGCAGCCAATTCGCCAACAGCAACACTAGGGCTCCTCTTCAAACCACGACCCCCTGGAGATTCGGTCTCAACGATCTTGGACATTGGCTCTACGCCTGAGACTTGACGAGACACCCCCCTGGTAGAAGCGCTAGATGTTCTGCGGCTCATGCCTGGAGGACCAGAAGGTGCACGGTTGGAAGACGGATCCTGTCCGGGTAAGTTTGTCAAATCTGAACCTGAAACAGCACGCTGAAAGTCTCCCTCATCCTCACGAGGAGGTAAACCAGAAGGTGCAAGGTTGGAAGACGTTGGATCCTGTTCGGGTACACCGCCACCATCGCGTTCGGCTCCTTGACGTGGGACAGACCTCGATCTCGCGCGTGTCCTCGGAGTTCCTGGTGCGGAACGGGGCGTAGGCGGTATCAACATAAGTGGACTGAACATAGGCGACTCCAGCACAGGGCGACCAGCAGGATCCAAAGTCAGCGGAGTAGGTCGCGGCGCCTGTTCGGTATCATCCTCGGGCACAACAGGAGTGCCGGCCTGCGGCTGCAAAGGCTCGTCCTGCGAGGGCTCAGACAGTTGCGGAGGCAGTTGTGCATCGATAGCCTCAGCGATTTGACGGTCATCCGCGGGACCTGGATGGTCAGAATGCCGAAAAGCCCTCGGATGCAACTGCACATCCTTGTCAAACTTTCTAAGAACCTCCAGGTCCGCAGGGTCGGGCGACCACCATTCCTCACCGAAGACAGGCCTACACTGCTCGGGTGAGGCCTGCACGAGGCGTCCTCGACTGTTGCGAATCCACAGATTGGCTGCAACATTGGAATTGGGGTTGCGATCCAGCGACACCACAATTCCCTGACGGTAACCCTCGACGGTGCCTTCTCCATCACCAGCAGCAGTTCGCTTGCGGAAGTAAGCAATCTTTTGCCCGGGGTAGAACTCACCACGATAGGGTCGGCTCTTCCGCAACAATGCCGACCGCAGCGCCTGGTTGGCCTCGAACTCGTGGTGGTTGTTCATGGCCTGCACGCGAATGCTCTCGATCTGCATGAGACGTTCCGAGTCGCTGGTGAGCTGTGCACTCTCAATACTCCCGCCATCACTGAGCAAGGCTCCAGGAAGTTTAGGGTCCTTGCCGAACACCCACTGATTGGGGCTGGATCCACTCCTTCTCATAAGGCGGTTCTTTGCTTGCACTGCCGAGGCTACACATACGTTGACCTCGGCCACAGTGAGCGCAGCAAACTGATTGATCAAACGACTGGCATTGTATCGCAGCGCCTGGCCATGGCGTTCGGCTTTTCCAAGTTGCCAGTGTGAGTCCGGAGGGATGCACCGAACATCCACATTCAGCTGCGCATGCAGCGACTCGAACCGCATGCCGCGAAAGGCTCCTTCCGCATCGATGGTCAACTCATCAGGTGGCCCAAAGAAACAGAACCAACCATTCACCAAGTTCGACACCACATTCTCCTCTGATCTCGACAACAATCTTGATGCTGCTTGATAGCACGTCGCATCGTCCACACAGTTGAGGAACATATGGGTGCCTCCTCGGATGTCCTTGAGGTAGATGATATCCATGGACATCCTGTCATTGAACCTCCGAGCCTGGAAGGCCTTTGACACTCGTGGTTGATGTGGTGGGCTGACACGAAGGCACACCTCGCATCGCAAATGACGGGCCCCTTTGAGAGCAGCTTCTGAAGCCTTGGCGATTGCCAAATGTCGGACCAGAGTTTCCTTAGGTGGATGCCCGAGGTTGCAATGCAGGCGACGAAGTACCTGCTGCATCCAGCTGGGGATATCGACTCCGGGGAACGTGATGTCGCGGTAGCCCGGCTGGTGGACATGCATTTTCTCATGAGGCTCTCCCTCGCGGGGCTCAGGCCGATTCTTCGGTTGCTCAGGCAACTCGTTCTCTTGGTCGTTCATACTTGTAGCCGGAGCGTCACCGTAGAAGAAGATGGCGATCCGGACTGGCTTAGTGAACTTCCCGGTCGGAGCTTGGATGATCGAGCTGATCTTCTCGGCCTCAAAGACGATGGTGTCGTCGTTGTGCATAAGGGCGGCTCCCCGGTGCTGAGTGCCTTCTTGAGATACCTCAGCAGGCAATCGGCGCTGTTTGGGCGCACGGAAGATCTGCACCCTTTGCAATTTCCAGGGCACCAAGGCTTTCACACGCTCGAGGTAGGGTGAAGGCTTCAAGGTAACCCCATTGGTCGCGAGGTTCTTGAGCCTCTGTTCAGCCTCTTGCAAAAGAGGCTTCCACGATTCCTCTTGACGGCTGATGTCCAAGAAGAACACACTGGAGGTCTGAGGTTCACCGGGTGGTTCCCACAGCAGATCAAAGTTCTCCCAGGGATCATCATGATGAACGTCGCATACCCAGGCCTCGTCGTCACCCGGCAGACCCGAGAAAACTTGCCAGTTTTGGTTCCATCGTTCATCTCCTCGTTGATGAAGAACATCTTGGAGAGCCTTGATCAACTGGATCTCCTCCTTCAACGGTTGAGCCTCAACTTGGTTCGCGAAGATCGTGGCAAGGAGCTCCGGGAGATTCGTCATGTACGTCACGCCGTCCCGGTTCTGTAGTCGAACTCCTGGAGCGGCCTGTAGTTGACGAAGCTCAAGTCCGGACAGAAAGACCTCGTCCTCGCAGGCTCGTAGTAGAAAGTGAACACCATCGCTGAGCAGCTCGTGCAGTAGAAGACAAACCTGACGGATTCGTCCTTCCTCAGATTTCGAGCGAGGCCTTGCATTCACCCTCCAAACCACGAGGAACGGTCTATGCCGGCCGACAAGCTTCTTCAAGGTCCGAGGGTTCACAGAAACTGGGCTAGCACTCGTGACTTGCACAGGCTCAAGCACACGCAGACCGACTTCCAGGGCCTTCTCAGACAAGTCCTCACTCACACAGTCGATCTCGATCAAGTCAGCTCGGTACTCACGAAGCTTCCTAGCTGACTGGACGCGGTTTGCATAGACCTGTGCCTCGGTCTCCCAAGCTTGCAGCACCAGTTTGGCTGAACCACTCAACCGCTTTCTCACTCCCGCCTTCAGCACAAAGCAACCAAAATCCTCGCAGCATAGAGGAGCATCGGCGGATCCTTGAGGATGTACGGGTAGCACAGGAGGATCGCCTGCTCGCTCTTGGGCTAGAAGTAGCCCCGCTCCTCGAACTGACGTCTCATCTCGGACGGCATCTCGTCTCGAGCGTCCACATCCCAATCGTCGCGACCCATCCTTTCCTCCCAGAGGTTCACGTCGTTGGCCTGACTCATGAGGATCTCGTCGACCTCCTGTGCCGTGAGCCCGCCCGGGCCTTCCTCCTCGTTGGGGTTCTCCTCCTCGCGGCGTTGGAACAGGCGAGGTTGCCGGCTCTGTCGACCTTGGCCGGTTGTCTCGACGCTCATGTCGGTGTCCGAGCTTGCCGCCGATCGTCCCGAGTGCCATTGACGAGGTGGCATTCTCTGCCCATTCATACGGAAGAGGCTCGGACTCTGAGTCTGAGGACCCCAGCTCGGTCTCGGAGGAGGCGGCGGCGTCAGTCCCAAGTGTCCAGCTTTGGCCTGTGATGGCTCCCGCGAGGATGCCGACAAGCGCTGCCACGACCCGTCCGAAGCGCCGCCTTTGTCCTCGCTCTGGTCCTTGGGTTTTCCTTTGGCCTTTGCGAGCTTCTTTTTCTGGGCATCGGTCAATCCCAGAGGTGTCTTCGCGCTTGGATTGGCCTTGGGCACGGCCTCCAGCGCTTCCCCACTCAGCGTGAGAACCCAACGGCTCCCGCAGGAGTCGCAAATGCGAATCCTTTGGCCTCCGGCGGCATATGTCCGAGTGCCCGTGCCAGAGGTGTGGTCGCACTTCGCCGGGCTCTTGCGGTAATGGTTCAGCTGCAAAGCACTGGAAGCCGCCATCGCCGCTTGAGTCCCCATCATTGTCACTGCCGAACAGGGCTCCATGTACATCTTTAACACCATATCCTTCAACTTCGGGCGAAGCGTAGCCGCCGAGTAGTACAGCACCGCCATCTGGGTCGTGTAAATGAACTCCTGAAGATGCACCAGCAACATCCTCCAGTTCGTCAACCATCTCGGATGAGGATCTCGAGGCATGTGGAGGTCGGGCTGCTACTTTCGAATTGCTGATGGCTTGAAGCCTCACTCTGCTGGGCGGAAAAGCTTTGTCGTGCAGCACATCGGGGGGTCCCTGTCCACTGAACTGCATGGTGGAGTACTTGCCGGGCCAGTCGAAAGCATGGTTGGGCCACTCATCAATCTTAATCGCAAGATGCCCGCAAGGACTCAAAAACAGGTCTGTTGACTTGCCAAAGGCCTTGAAGTAGACAGTACCCTCCAAAAGATCCGGAACAGCCCCAAGCGCCTCCATGGTCCGCCTGGAGAGTAGTCCCGGCGCCGGAGCTTCGACCTCGCTGATTCCAAGCATCACCGCTTCCCCAGCAATCCCAGCAGGGTAGAGAAACCGTCCCTTGCTCGGCATGCCACTGGTGGGACCAAAAGAAAATCGACAAACTTCTTCAAAGCGGAGTGGCACAAGAGGCAGAATCTCGCTACACTTCTGCTGATGCCAAACACTCCCCGCGACCTGACGTTGACACCCAGTATCAGCTATCATGTAAGAGGCGTCTTCGCAAGTGCTCAACATTATCGACGGGGGTCTCGGCACTCTGAACACTCTCACGTTTTGCTCCGTAGGGGCAGGCTGCGAGCTCACCATCCAGCTCGTTTGGAGCACCTTCAGCGTCCAGTTCCAAGTCTGCCGGGTCACATGCGGGCAATCCCTGATCCAGTGGTCACTTGCCCCGCATCCAAGGCACAAGGATCCTTTCAGCCTGTTCTGGCGATCAGCTCCGGCGGCTCCACCAGCACCTCCAGGCTTGCCCTTCTTGCCGCTCGCCTTGCCCTTGGGATGACCCTTTCCGGACGGCGATCCCTTTCCTTTGGACTTGCCGCCCTTCTTGCCGCCCGACTTGCCCGGCGACTTGCCTTTGCCTTTGCCCTGAACATAAAATCCCCGACTTTGCACCAAACCGGCAAGCTTCTTGGACGTGACCGTCAGTGCCTCAGCCGCCGCCAGGAGCGCGGACATATCCTCAGGCACCTCCTCGGTCGGCTGCGAGTCGCCGGCCTCCTCGCGGATCAACTCTTCATCGTCATCCTCGTTGCCCTCTTCTTCGTGATTGGGCTCGTACTCGAAATCCTCGCCCTGGTTCTCCTCTTCGGGCTCGTAGTCCCCGCCTTGGTCCACGGTCTCATCCTCGCCGTCCCACTCAGTGTGCCACTGAGTCCACCGTCCGCTGGACTGCGATCTCGGGTTCCGGCGATTCCCGTGAGTGGCAGAAGACTTGTATGTAGATACCCGGGAGGTAGAGGATCTCGTAGTGGTAGAGCGCGAAGATAACGATGACAAACCCTTGGGGAGACCCGTTATGCTCATGCCAGGAGGATACTGTATGCGGAGGGCCTCAAGCACGCTCTTCATTTCGTAGCGGTTGCCAGCTGCCAAAAGTATCGAAGCAGTGGCCTTCTCGTCCAAGCGTAACCCGTCCAACAACTTAATCACCCTGGCCTGCTCGGGGTACTCCGGGACCTTGTTCTCGGACAACTTTCTCTCGAGGAGCCTGAAACGGCGAATAAACGCCGTGATGGACTCCCCCTGCATTCTCCCAATCGACTCAAACTCCCTGATGACACCCCCTTGTCTGAAAATTTCCCTCTCGCCGAAGGCCTTCTCCAAGTCTCCCAACAGTCGGGAGACTCCGTCAGGATGATCGAACCGATCATCGGAAACCTCCTCAAACTCAAGCTCTGCCTCGCCCGTAAGCTTCTCCAAGGCGCGAAGAGCCTGCTCGTTCGGCGGGAGGAACTCCTTGGTGATCTTGACCCATCGAAGAAGCCGTCGGCGGTAATGCCTCAAGCAGTAGGGATCTCTCTCCACGTCGCCATCAAACTCCGGGGCTTGCGGAACTGCTCCTGAGCGCCACTTATGTTCAGTGGCCGAAGAGCCTGTGCCACCGCATACCCCACGCTTTCGTCGTCGTCCACTGCCCTGACTGGGCACGTCGTCGGCCGCGCCGGCGCCTGTCAAGGCGCTGTCGTCTTGGCCAGCGCTCTCGGCGCTTCCGCGCTCGAAGGTGTCGTCGTACTCGGCCTCGTGACCAAAGTCGAAAAGATCATCATCGAACATCGGAGCTGCCATCAGGAAACACTACCGTAGCTTAGCTAGGAGTACTGCAACCTGCGTCGCTACCAGTGAGAACTTAGCCGTGTAGCTAGGAGCCTGGATCTACAGCAACTCCTAGTGCAGGTAGCTCAAAGCTCTTTTGCGCACGCGCTCCCTTCCCTGCTGAGCCTCCGAGAGCGCCGATTCGTGAGTCTTCATGGCATGTAAACACGGCTGACGACTTTATTCGTTTAGCACAGGGCGCCTGTCGTAGAGATGAGCGGCATCAATCTGTGTGTAGTTGCCGGCGATGCGACGCAAAGTCTGGATTGCCTCGCGAAGGGCAAGTTCAAAGAGGGTCCGGGCGTGGGAAGGGCATTCCTTTTTGTTTAAAACGCGCTTTGTCTTGAGGCAAGCTCAGCTTGCTCAAGTGCTGCTGCTACTGAGACTCTGTCCTGCGAATTTGTGGCTTCGGACGCTTGTTGTGGAAACCCAAGCAACTCAAGTTCCCACGCTCAACATGGTTCTTGAGCTGACAGGCTGTTGCAGGGTCTGCGATGGTGGACTCAAGCTGCCTACGACCCGAAGACCTCGGCTCTGAAGCTTCTCAGTCCAAACTGTTCCGTGCCCGTCCGAGGATCCTACGACTACATGCATCAACAATGTCGAGCACGAGGGAAAGACGTCCCGAATGCGCCAGCAAGGACCCCAAGTCTTTTCCACCGCGTGGACCATGCCAGCGCCTTTGCATCTTCGCGGCCGCAATCGGAGGTCAGGTCCTCTGCTTTGCTTTGTTCGAGGGGTGGTCCCTTGAGTTCCGGTCTTTGCACTTGGATGCTGCGCATTCGACGGAGCGAACCGACACCAAGTGAGGTAGACAACCAGTATGTTGGCGATTCCATAGGCCTTGATACCAGCCGCTTTCAGACATATAGATGCCCATGACTGTCCTGAGAGCAACTCCGATGGCTGAGGAGGTGCAGCTTCCGCGGTCTTGCCTGCGAGGCCTGAGAACTCCCTCGAAGCCTCTTCTCCAGTCTCGACAAACAAGATGGAGAATCCACACGTACTCGCTTTAGGGCGGCTACAAGCAAAGGAGACAAGGTTACATAGTATCAAACAAAAAGGAGAAGCCACGCGAATTCGCTTTAGTGAGGTTAAGATGAAGACAAAGATAACATCAGTCTCATCTTCTCTGACAAACAAGAAGTAAAAAATCCGCAAACACATTAGCAATGCAACAGCAGCATAACCAAAAGGACTTTGCAGGCAACTGCGGCAGTCGAGACTTCAATCAAAACCGGCCCCGGCCAGGAGGCAAAGGGTCGGTCGAAGTAATAAGAGTCTGCTTATTTTGGCCACTCCTGTGGAGTCAAGTTCTCGCTCCGAATCTAACCTTTCTGGGTCGACTTGGTCTCTCCTTCCGGCAACAAACCCACCCCTGTGGAGTTAGTGTCGCACTCCGAAACTAACTTGTCTTGAAGGAGTTGGGTTTCTGCTACCGGAAAGTAAGCGGATGAATTTGTCAGAACTTCGGAGTCTCATATCTTTGCGGCCGGAACTTCAATCGACAACTCTGGGGTGTGGTTTTACCTGGACACCTACGAAGGCCCGCTACACCCAAGCTTCTGTAGCCACAGCTCGCACCTCAAGTGCCACCCTGTCAGACTGGTTGGACCCACGACTTAGCGCGATTTTAAAGCGATGCAACCCCTAAATGCGAATTCCTGAAACGATGCCATTCTACACGGTACGCGACTCCAGGGCTCATGCTGGACGCGTGCTTGCTGCGGACCTTGGAGCGATCCCAACTGGGGCTTGAAGTTCAGTTGCGCATGAATCCGATAAGAAGAAACAAGGCCTTAGCTTCAAAGCCTCACCACTTTTGCTTCCTGTCATGCCTGGCAAAAAGGATGGGGCTGCTTGCTGTCACCTTGAAGTACTGAATGCCGATCTCCGGACCTGACGCACCGTGTCAAACCACGCCTCCCGATGCGTTGCTGTCAGCACTCTTGGCATGATGCCTTGTTGTCCTTCAACGGCACGGCGGGAAACTCGCAAAGCCCGTGCCTTACCAATGGTTCATAAGTAAGTCCCTCCTCATGCCAGCCAAAGATATGAACAACCGCTGCCAGTAATAATGTCCTTTCCTAGCCCCAGCCTATGAACCGTACCATATCCCATAATGTTAATGTACCACGAAACCCTGCTCTAATTGATCAGGCCCATGCATCCCCTGCTTAAAGGGCCCTTTCTAGAATAGGTCCGAGCAGCTGCACTAAAGAGGCATGGTCGTTTTCCGCCTGGCGAGCAAAGATCCCAAGCCCCACATTCGGGCCCTTGAAACGGGTCTCAAGGTTTACAGCTACTTTGTTCCTCGTTGTTGTGGGTGTTGGGAAACTTTGGGATAGGACATAAGACCGCGGCCCGAATGGTTTCGGGCCGACAGCCTAAGCTCGAAACACGAGGACCTCACATGGACGGTTTCGTTGGGAGTTTGCCCGCAAAAGCGGCAGAGTTGCCAAGTCTCAGTCTCAGGGCTCCAGGGTTTCAGCTGGGAGGCTTTGTGGACTCCAAGTAAAATTGAAGCGGTTCGAAGACTGCGAAATTTGAACAGCCTGTTGTCCGCACCGAAGCACAAACGATTCATGATGCAAAGCCCAGCTCAGCCGCACAAACGTTGATCTGCAAACCAATGCAGCACTTCGACGACTGCAATGCGACTTGCCGGTCAAAGCCGTAAATCCGACCTCGGACACCAGAAGTCAATGCTCCAATCGCACGACCTACACTCAATCCGCAACCCTCCAACCGGGCAATGAGCAAGCCCCCCTCCCACCGCACGAACCGCAACCTTCCTGCCTCCAATGCTCCAGTCGCCACATGGCAGCAGGAGGCCACGAGGACAAGCTTCGGTATCATGGCATCGTGGCAGCGGAATGAGGGCTTCAGGTCTAAGGGCCAAGGCTACTACTTTCAAGCTAGGGTTCCCGGACCACGGTCTTCCAGTGAAGGTTAGGGCTCCTCCGTCATTGCCTTTTCTTCTCTTAGGGTGTGGCGGTATGGAGTTTCAAGTTTTGTTGAACTTGGTTCCACAGGGCGGCGGGATTTTACGAACCCATGCCTCTCACTCCTCGCCCGCGAAAAGCTGCGAGTGGATTGTGTCGCATGTCTCAGAAGGTCGAAACTCGAACAAGATCTTTAGGCTATGACGGCTTCGGGGCTTCCGCGATTTGATTCCCCAAGCTCTTGGGTAGCTTGGGATGTGTGCCTTTGAGAACCCAGCCGCATTGCTACAGTCATCAGATCAGGTTACCGGTTAGTGTATGATCCGATGCAGGGACCAGGACTAGGCTGAGGAGCTTCAAGGTGCTGGAGCCTTGGCTTAGCTTGGTGCAGCTTACACCTTAAAGGGGCTCCTGGTAAAAGATGTGCAGGTGAGGGACGCCCTGCTCTTCGGCTCTTCCGAAGCTTTGGGGCTCTCTGACACCCTCACCCCTATGCCTTGACCCTGAGAACCCTGAAATTTCTCAGCTGAAAACCCTTGAACCCTAAACCTGAACGTTCGCGTCTCGCGCATTTTACTTCTTCCTGTGCTCAGCACGCAGCCTGCAGCGATTCTGGGCTCAGTGCAGAGGCCGTGAGTTCAGGGATTAGGTTTTAGGCTCGCTACTTGTAAGACTCAAGGGCTATGCCTCGGGTAAAGGTTCAGGGTCGAATCTCCCTTGGTGGCAGGACGTTTCGGGTGGCGGAGTCTTGGGGCTCATCACACATCATCACACTAGATTCGGGCATGGCCTGCTGCTCAGATCAGTTTGGACTGTAAGCTCGCCGGGCCGGAGAACGTCTCGTCTGTGGATATGTTTCGCCATTTGGGTCTCTGGAATGGTTTTGGGTTCGATGTGCACGGGAGCTGCCTCAACATTTCAATGGCAGAGGGGGCTGCACATGTTCCCAGTCCCTGCTAGGACAAACTGCGCAGTGGTTGACGGCTGGTCGCCCATCTGGAACGCTCTAACCTAACGCTTCCCAACGAAGAGAACGAGTCTCTGAACCTGCTGCTGGTTTGCCCGAGTTGCGCTTCTCAACTCTTTCTAATCCATTCCCACGTACAGAGCAGCTCAACCATGGCCCCAGGCGGAGCAAAACCCAAAACTCCGTCAACCTTCTTGTCTAGGCTCAAGACTCAAGCTTTGGATTAAAACTATGCAGTTGCCATCGCTATGAGTTCCATTAGTTGTCGTTGAGTTGCCACTCGTGGAAAACATTTAGACACAAATCTGCCTGAACAATGCTTGCTTCAGAAGCCTACTTCACGATACTTCGAAGGCAGGCTCGTTGCAAGCACATGCGCACCCATGTATGTGACTGTGTGCATTTGTGGATATGTGCATATAGACGGGTAGATAGATGGATAGATAGATAGAGGTGGTGCAGATCGAATTTCATAGAAATTCTCTCCCGCTCGGAACTTTGCAATATTTAAGTCGACGTACCAAAGTGTTGAACACACATAAGCTGCACTACCTACTGGGCTGTCAACAACGCAGGGCAGGCTTCCAGCCGTCAGCTGTACCGTGTGCTATTCACATGGCTTGACTACCGCGACTGAGGCAAAACTCACAGGTTCGAGGGGTTCAATGTGTTGGTTTAGTGTTCTTGTTGGTTTGAATATCAGGGGTTTGGGTTGGGGGTCTAGGGAAGCTAGTTCTGTATAGACATAATCTAGTGACTTCGGCAAACACTCACAGCAGCTCAACTAAATAGCTGTTTAAGGTGCATAAAGCTGGTGGGCAACTTATCAGAAAGGCTCTGCTCTGAGTCTCCCAGAGGCTGGGATTCTTCCCAGAGGGCATTTCGACGACTCCCACACAACGGCCAAGCCTGTCTCTCCGCTCCTATCCATTGGCCGACATCCTACGCACAATGCAAAGCACATGGTGCTTGAGATGCAGATTTCTGCGCGCGTCTGTCAAACAACCAAGCTACAGGATTCGCCGTACCAACTACGATTCTTTTGCCGAGGAGCCGCCTAC